ACTGCGGCGTTGTTTTAAGTAGACCGTTTAAGTACATTCATTCGTAACATTATCCAGGCTCGCGCGGGCTGCGGACACACGGACGTGCCGTACGACATGCAAATCAACAGTTAGCGGGACTGCCCTGTCAAGACTGCCAACTCAGCACCACTCAGCACCGCACGCGCCTTAGCCTCAACGGTCTCCAACCTCCAACTCTCCACACACTATCGACTCTGACGTACACGCGACGACTGTTCGCGCTTTTGCGATTCCTATATTTCCTATACTGTGGACTGTGGCGTCGTCACGGTCGTGCCGTCGTAGCGTGCGAAATAAACGGAGTTGCGGTTGCGAACTGGCGACGTCAACTGGCGATGGCAGGAGACTAGAGACTGTCACTGTAGGATTGGCGTTGCCGACGGCGACCTGCGTCAATGACGTCGCCGTCATCGGCGTCGTCGACCCCATCAGTCCGAGTCGATGCGAAAAATTAAATTACGAGTACGATGATTCCCATTCGCATCCTCGTGTTTGACGGGAGCTGTCGGGAGGAGAATAATTAAAGGGAGACGATTTGTGATCCACTGTGACCTCTGCGAACTATCCGATAAGAAATAAATGAGATATTCGATGAGACTCGATTTGTTCGATTTAATTGCACTTGTATCCTCTTTCGTATCGTACTTCGTTTCGTCCGCAGGGAACGTGACGAGATGTAGTTAAAACGAATGACTGTACTGTATCTTTCTTGCGTTTCTCATATTCGCATGAAATGGTACACTACAGGATGTGATGGGAAGAAAATGAATGAAACTTTTTTACAAGTTCGCATGAGTTTACGAGTCTCCATATGTACTTAAATATATGTCATCGTGACGATCGTTTTGCATTCCTCGGGTGTTCAAGACAGATAACGTATATAAGTTAAATAATACATACGACATCTGTTTGGATTTTGTAATAAGAAAGGTGTGATGAACAAAAGATGAGCAAGTTGTAGCTACATGAAAAATTTCGTACGCCGTCGCTATAGATAACGGGTTTTTAAATACAGTTTTTAACGCCGTAAGCAACCAGGTCAATTACATGAAAATTATTGTATATAAGTCAGCAAATTTACTAAGTGTTGACCAATGAAATTATAAAGATTTTAGGCCATTATTCATAATTGATTTTTATATTCAAGACTATCCTTAAGATGTCACGACCCAGTAATTAAGAATGGATTAAAATAGATTGAAATTGTTATGTATTTTAAGTCCATTGAATAAAAAAAAAACTTTTTTTTTTATTTATTTGGATTCAATTGTATTAAAAAACTGCATTTCCTATTAATTTCAAGATACACAATTATAATCCCGATCAGCGAAAGGTGTGAAAAGGGTATTAATTGTGTATTTTGAAATGAGATGAAAATTATAAAAATGAAGTAAATTAAGTTACTAGGTATGTTGAGTAATGAAATTATAAACAAATCCGCTTATTACAGTAAATTCGCTTATTTTTGTAATTTTCATCTTGCTTTAAAATATACAATTAACCCCAAGAAAGAGTTTGAAGTAGGAAATGAACATGTATCCATAAAATTCGCCTAATCTAGAACGACAAAGGGGGACGGCAGGGAAGATAAGGAAGGACAGAAATGTCCTAAACAAGCAATAAATTCCCATCCGGTTGTTTCATGAAGACTTGCTCATTCGTAAACACAATTAAATTATGAGACAGCCACAGCAAGATACCGCACATATCACTTGATAATTATAATATCGATTAACGATGAATTAATCGTAGTCGCAATAACTCTCTTCTCCATTTTTTATAATATCGTAAATGACTATTTCAACCAATGTAGATTAACTTTAATCTTGATTTAACTGACTTTTTTTATTTCTCTTTAGTTCTAAGAATTAGAAAAGTATGAAGAAAGTAAATTCAATCGGGGTTAATCTATATTGATAGAAATGGACCGAGGTTAATCTATATAGTCGTGAGAGTGACTGCGAGAAACTAAACTCCGATAACTCACTAATCGATAATTAACTTGTCAAGTGATATCCACATGAGATATCTTGACGTTAACGTTAACGTTTAGATCTTAATTTCTTTGTGTATGATTTTATATTCAATACAAAAAGAAGAATTCTATATTATACAATTTGAATAATCTGTTGTTTTGTATTTTTTTACAACAAATGAGGACGGAAAAATAATACAGTATACAACTTATATAATATAATACAGTACTTATATAATACTTATATAATACAGTATACAACTTATGCATTTTTTCCGTCTAAAAATCTAATAGTGTTATTATTTTGATTCAAATCAAATTCTTGTTAATTGTTTAAATGATAATTGTTTGAACAAATTGTATGTGATAATTTTGATTTCAGAATTCATAATGAGCGACCTCATAAAAACTATTACATGCAGATGATTATTAAATTAATTACATAAGCAGCCCTCAAAGGATTACATTTATCTAATTTAAGTTTTCTTCATTTCAATGTTATATTCTCCAATTCTAGAATTGGAAAGATAAGTACCCACACAGCATAAAATATTGAGAAATGTGTTTTAAGAAAAATATTTTTTTTAATATCACAAGTATTATTTTAAAAAGTTTTAGTAATATTTTAAAATGTTTTAGAGATTTGGAAACATTTTGTGGTAATATTTTCAAATACATTTTAAAAACGTGTTAGAAGCATTTTAAAAAATTACTTTTTTATCATTTAGAAAATGTTTTCTAAAATATTATCAATATATTTTTAAAATATTAAAATAATTTCAAAAATTTTAATCAAATTTTTTTATCAAATTGCTTGATTTCTTACGGAATGCATTCCATTTCCATGTGCTCCAAAATTTACTGTCAGTATTAAAAATTTGTAATTTACATTATTTCAGTCATATATTGGATCAAACGTCATAAGCGAAAAATGACACGTTGATTTTTCTTGCATTTGTAAATAAAGAGAATTTGGATTAAACCAAATGACAAGGTGACTTAAAACACTTGTAAAAATGTGCGAAGACTCTCTTTATCTCCCCTGATCAGTAAAGAATCGAAAAAGGATCGTGAAGTGGAAAGGCTACGTATGCGCATTGAATAAAAATTAATAAACACACGTTATATGCCTTTTACGAGTATTTACTGACTGTCCTCGACAATTTTTACAAGTGTTCTAAAGCGATCTCATCATTTCAATTTATCCAAATTGTCTTTATTTACAAATGGCATACAAGAAAAATCAATATGTCGCTTATGACACATTTCTCGTTTATAAATTACGATTCAATATGGCTGGAGTGAGTACTCAGAAGTCTTAAGTACTTAATTTGTTTTATATTTTTGAAATAAAATTGTTTCTTAATTTTAAAGACAGATTTTATATTTTGTTAATAAAAAAAGTTTATTTTCTATATTAATAGGAGTTTTACATGTATGTATTATGTATATAATAAATAAAAATAAGTGCAATTTTGTATTTTTTATTTTAGAATACTATTCTAATAATAAAACTAAATAAGTAACATTTCTAAAAGATTTCACAAATATTATTGAATATATTTGAATGAAATTTTTTAAAAATATTTTTAAAAATATATTTTTAACATGATCTAGCGGACGTAGAAATATTTTTAAAATATTTTTTGAAATTATTTTAAAATATCTTAATCTTTCTAAAAAATATTTTTTTAATATTTTGAAAATATTTTGCGCTGTATGGGTAATTGAACTTCGGTTAAGAGTTAAGAATTAATTACTTCAATATAGATTTTAATTTCGCTTTAACTTATTCTGTATCCTTTTCTAATTCTTAGAACTAGAAAAAGATAAAAAGTAAATTAAACTTAAGATTGAAGTTAAATCTATATTAGTAGAAATAGACATCCTCTCGCACGCGAGATCATTATCTTGCGATACATCATCTCGCTATCTTTTCTACCTTAATTGTATTTAGAGATGTAAGTACTTCCGTAAGTTCCAAAGATCAAGAAAACTTGATCTTCGGAATCGGATTTCAGACTTTTGTGATCAACGTAAAAACAATTACGTATGTTCAAACCCAGTAAACAAAAATGGATTGAAATGGATTGGATTCCATATAAAAAATTTTTATACGTGTAAAAGTTTAAATAAATTAAAGTAATAATTACATGAATTTTAATAGTTAATATTTTAAAACTTTTATACATAAAATACATGCTAGCTGTATAATGAAGGAAACATATTAATATGTGATTAATTGCCCAGCAAACGAGGATTCAATTGAATTCAATTAAATTCAATAGAAAAAGCTAATATTATTTTTAGATTGAAAGGCATAGAGATATGCTCCATACAATTCCTATAAATGAATAAAAATGCATTCAGGATTAAAAAGCATTCATTTTAATATTCGTGAATCAATATTTCTGAAAATCTGAATCCATTTTAATCCATTTCAATCCATTCTCATTTACTGGGAAGAGAAAAAAAAAGTTGAAAACTCATCAATTTTGTAATGAAGCAATTATTCGTTTTTATTGCGTTCATTATATTTTTTCACATAACATCTCTTCCTCTTTCCTGGAGGTTTAAGAGTAAACAATTTATAAATAAATTGTCGGAAGCAAAAGTCATAAAAAGAATTTAAACGCGCTCTGGGAAGAACAATTGACCCACCCATTGTGAATACTATTCAATTCAAAATTTTGAATAGGAAATGCAGTTTTTCAATCCAATTACATCCAATTGAATCTAATTAAATCCAATTAAATCCAAAAAAAAAAGTATTCGCTATTTAAAATACGCATTCGAATAAAAAAAAATTTCAATCCATTTTAATCGATTCTCGTTTGCTGGAGATGGAACAATGCCTTTTTTATCGTGAAAAATGAATCATATGTCTGTTAGAATCGCGTCACTCGAAAGCATCGTATTATCATCGATCTCTGCGTGAAGGCAAAACAGGCAACGGCGGTACGACCTCTTTTGTATCGAACGTTCATGAAATCACGGATCATTTTTTCTTTCGCGCGGCTATTTAACGACTTCGCGACGTGACAGCCGCGCTCATTGCGTCGCGCGCGCACGAATCGAACGAGTCGTGACGAGTGACGAGTCGTCGTCTGTCCGCTGTCGCGTCGCCGTGGACCGTGGATTGTCGTGGAATCGCGTGTCGTGTCGCCACCGGTGATCAGCGGATATCAATCTGTGTACTGCTGTGTACTAATCCACCACACTACGATCGACAGCCCCGTTGACGCTGTGCACGGATACTGCCGACGCATGATTCTCTTGGACGAGAATAACAGTCGCGGCGCGGTGACACGCACGTCGAACGCGCGAAAATGTCCCGATAAAATAGCCACGACGATCCCAGGATTCCCAGGGCACGCCGCGATCCTTCCTCAGGTGACTAATCGTGAAAACATTTTAATCATTTTCCTACGGATGGAGAAACGTTGGAGTGTCTAGTTTTTACCTCTAGGTTATCTGACACCATCTGACACAAGGTCTAGTTCTAATTATATCGATTCCTTGTTCTTTTGTATAACTTACTCACTATTTTCTTTATCCTTCTTTTCTTGAGGAACTTCTAAATATTTAAGAATGTCAACTAATGTTTTTCTTCAATGTTCGCGCGAAAATTAAGTCTGCATCCTCGTGATTCTCGATCGGATCATCTGTTCGGCTTTGCGACATGGCGTTTCTTTTTATTTGCTTGACGACTCATTATTCTTGATGTTATCGAGAAATCGCGCTACGATGTCGATGCGATTTGTGATTAGAAAAGTAATCGTTACAAGGTCTGTGTTACAAAATCACCCACTTGCTGGATAAATCACTTCCCATTTCTAATGGTACAGGTGTCGACTCATTTGTTATGCAGGATAGATGCGAATCGGTACAACCATGTCCTTAAGAAACGTCATCGAGTGGACATCCTCCGACGTGAAAGCATGGCTCATAGAAAATGGTCACGAGGAATACGCGGATTTATTTTACTTTCATGAAATCGACGGGAAGGTACTTTTGACGCTGAAAGAGGAAGACTTGAAATCTAGTATTTTAAATATAAAGAAGATTGGTGCTATAAAAAAATTGTATCTAGCCATAAAGCAACTGCAGAGGGACAATGTCGCCGTTCTATTCGATCTGGGATATGTGGATCTGTTTCCTTCGACAAATTTTTATACTCATCATCAGAATAAGCACGAGGTAAAGGCATGATTCTCTTAAAGGGAAATGTCTAATGTTCATTTTAATTTAAGAAAGTAATGTTGCTATGTTTAATATAATTTTACTTTAGATGCCCAGTACTGGTACGAATAACGAAACGTCTATTGAGAATGAATTCTATTCAGCCTCGGTATCAGAGGATGGACACGCTTCTCATTTGCCGCCCGAAATCTGGAAGACACTCATCAGTTTGGGATATTTATTTATCGTCACATGGATTACTGCCTTTGTAATGGTTATCGTTCATGACAGAGTGCCTGATATGAAGAAGTATCCTCCATTGCCAGACATATTTTTAGATAATGTACCTCATATTCCTTGGGCGTTTGATATGTGTGAAGTTACCGGTACTCTACTTTTCGCGATATGGCTTGTTGTGCTTATATTTCACAAGTATAGGTAAGAAATGTGATCCATTTAAATAAATATTGCAAATAATGTGATTTGTCAGTGCGAATAATCTATTAAATATGGCACAGATTTATTTTGTTACGGAGGTTTTTTGCACTGTCGGGTACAGTCTTCCTGCCGAGAGGCGCCACAATGCCTATTACTTCGGTGCCAGGAGCACATCTACAATGCCAACCACGGAAAGTCCCAGATGATGATTGGTCGAAGTGAGATACATATATTATAAAATTACGTATCACATTCTCTTTCTCTAAATACAAATAGTGCATATTTATATCTCATTTTAGTTCCGCTTATGTAGAACTGTACAATAAAATAGCAATGGCTTATGTTATTTGGCGAGGTGCTGGCATGTCCATTCAAGGTGTCAGAACTTGCGGGGATTACATGTTTAGCGGACATACAGTAGCGTTAACAATGCTTAACTTTTTCATTACAGAGTGTAAGTAATTAGTATACATTATTTCATAATCGACGATTTTAATATTTATGAAATGCTCTTTTTTTTTATTGCAGATACTCCAAGACATTTATATTTTCTGCATACTTTTACATGGATGCTTAACATGTTTGGTATTTTTTTCATCTTGGCGGCGCATGAACATTATTCCATCGACGTTTTCGTCGCATTTTATATAACTTCGCGATTATTTCTTTACTATCACACATTAGCGAATAATCAAGCATTGATGCAGCGTGATTCGATCAGAACCAGAATCTGGTTTCCGTTATTTAGCTTTTTTGAGGCGTCTGTTGATGGTATTGTTCCTAATGAGTATGAATCGCCGTCCTTGATAGTTTGCAATTTAGCAGGCACGGGAAAGAACATCTGGCATTGTGTACGATCTCGGATTTCTCTCCGAAAAATGCAGCGCAGCATAAACGGCAATTTAAGTAGCACAAAAAAGGAATACTAATGTCAACTGGTATATATTTTAATTGTTATATTTGATTGCTATAATTAATATGTTTAAGATAAATATGCCACATAGGGAACACTTCATTAATTTTTTTAATTCCAGTCACACAATATACAAAAATATACATACGTAAAAAAAAAAGACAAAATAATATTTCTTTAGAATGGATCTTTATGTCTAAGAATACATAAAATGTATAAGTTTCGAAAAAATGAAAGTGATCTTATATTGTATATTTATCTTTACAGAGCGTTGACTGTTTATTTGACAAATTTGTTTATATGTTGGAATAATATTGAAAAAAAGCTTAATATTAATTCTAAATATATTTATTTTTGTGATAGAGGATTGTTGATACCGGAAGAGATTGAAGTAATTTATGATACGATTAATTAATATTACGTAATAGTTAACTTTTACTATCACAAATAATGTAATTTATTAAGAAATTTCCAAAGACAAAACGTAGCATATAAAGTACTTTACTAATTCAACATGTATTTTCCAAGCATGTTGTATCGTCTAAGACTTTTTTATTTTTTTAAGTGTATGTATATGTATATATACATTATATATATCATATATACATATATATATATACACACACACAATATATACGTGTGCATGTGTGTGTGCGCGTGCGTGTGTGTGTGTATATATATGTGCCCACATAATTTGCTCATAAGTACTTTTGTTTTTTTTTTGTGATACAAGAAGAAAGTTAAGTTAAAGGCTATATTGTGACGGCCTGCAGGGATGTTAGATTTTATCAGGAATGTTGAATGATTTTTTACCTTTCATAATGATATTTTAGAATTTCTAGATTAGACATCTTTGAAAACGCTTATTTGTTTGCTAACAATGAAACGCAATGTTTTAAGAGTAAATGTTATATGTTATATATTATTATGCATTCCTGGTATCTGATAAAATTAATAATTTAAGTCTCCTGTTTACTTATTGTAATCGTATTAAAATCGTGTGATCTTTTTGCATTGTACATATAAATAAATAAAATGTTGCATATATTGTTACATATATTCGACATAGCTACACATTGATAAGATATACTGACTCTTTTCGATTTAGATAGAAATAAATAGGAATAAATATCTTGATTATTGTAAAATACGTTTTTGCTGGAAATGTAAAACATATAGATACATACGTATGCAAAAAGAGGGATGATTTTTTACTATCGAAGAAAATTTATGATTTTAATACAGTTGCAGTAAGAAAGCAGGAGTCATATTTACAGATGTGGTATTATCAAACAGAGGCTGAAAATACTGCTGTTATCGTAACTTTTAATGTAAATTCGTGCGTAAAATATCTGTATGATATGATTGTATGAATAGCTTCTATATGTCACATAGAAGCTATTGCCAATAGTATAATAGCTTTTTAATATTACATCCATATCTATTTTTTACTTATGTGATAAATAACTTAATCTTGTTGGCGTTAACGAGTACCGATTATTGATAACTCGATGGTGCCTGAGATTGTTGATGTTTATTACTTTATATACTTCCAAAAACTATGCAATGTGGTAAACTTTTTCTCTTATGCTAATATCGACCAATATACCGACCAGTTTATAAGACAGTCGGATTTACAGACAATTGAGAAAAATAGCACGAGAATAAAAGACGTCAATATTTCAATAAGACTTTTATTGTATTTTTATTAATTATAATTAATGTACACTTGCAGGTATCATTTCCCTTTATCTTTCCCAAACAAAATTTTCAAAAAAAAATGCATTACATTCGTGTTCTTTTTAACTCACGCGCGTACGTAAAAAATTATTAAAATTTCCAAAACTGTCGTTTCAAGTAAATTGATGACAATTAGATTTGAGAAAATTTAAAGTAAAAAATAGGCAAATCATAAGGTTGTGACGAAGTAAGAAATGGCCATTTCGTTAATTGTAAATCAATTAGCGCTCACAAATAAAGTACAGATTGCAGAGAATGAAGTGGAATGAAGTGCAGTTACGTGCAATTCGACGGTACATCGTGATATGATGTGTGTGTAAATGATATGTAAACAGTTAAATACGCTCTACATATAAAAAATTGTGACATTCTCTTTTTTTTTCATGAGTTGGGAAACGTGTTCAAATTAGGGGAGAATCAATATTAATTTCTAATAATTGAATTTAATGTAGTTTCACTAGTCAACAGATTATGATAGGTTAATCCGAACGAAGTTAGGTTATTGCCTTCAAATCAAGATTGAAAAATATTCGTTCTAATTATCAAGCTAATAATTATGGCTGTATCTGTTTTTATCCGTTGTTCACATTTTCGACGTTTAATTGGCGTAACCAACAATGCTGTTGCCTTATTTCCGGATTCCGCGTGGTATTCGGTATGTTTGCAATTCCTTTGTAATGAAGCCATCGTGCTATTGCAATTTTCCTCATTTCGATTATGTATAAATTATTTAATTGTTATGTTAAATATTTTACGATTGTAGAATTGTATTAAATCACAATCTTATGCAACATCTATCAGTGAAATCAAAGATACAATTAAAACTAATACCAAAAAATCTGAGAAAAAAATAAGCAAAGCTATGATGATGTATTTACAACGTGCAAAAGAACATGGTAATAACTGATTTTTTGAGTGTATATATATATATATATATATTAACTTTAAGACCAATCGTATATAAATAATATATTTTTCTATACATAAGTTATTATTTAAATTTTTTAGATGAATTCATGAAGAAAGAGATCTTAGAATATGAGATAGGGAAAAGACATCTCGCTAATATGATGGGCGAAGATCCGGAATCTTTTACCCAAGCAGATATAAATGTATGTAATTATATAAAAAAAAATCATGCTAATTTGATAAATATCTGAGTTAATATCTAAAGTCTCATGAGTGTTACTTTTAGAGATCAATCCAATATCTGTTTCCATCGGGACTATTTGATCCTAAAGCTCGGCCAATAATGGAACATCCAGAAAAGATTTTTCCAAGCAGGAAAGCAGCAGAATTTGATGAAACTGGAAAACCCTTCCATTCTATGTTTTATACCTCAAAGCCAAATTATTATGAAACACTATATGTAAGTTTTTATAATAGCTATTATAGATATATGAAAGAAAGTAACTAATATCTGAAAATTATTTTTATTTACAGAATATTGTCGATAATATCAAGTCTCTAAATAATATTGAAGATTCATTGATAAAGCAAGGAACATTGCCTATGGACAAAATGTATGTTGAATATGTAATTTATATAAAATGTGTATATGTATACAGCTTGATATATAATTTAAAAAATATCCTGCATTATATCAAATATAAATATTTTTTTAAATACATATTTTTAGTGATCTAGTAGGTTCCTCGTGGTTGTCAAAGAATGATATTGAAAAACTATTTCTTGAAAGGATTAACGATTTTGAGGTAAATAATATTAATATTATTAGCTACAGAAAACTTAAATAATATTTTTAAAAATTGTAACACATGATTTAACTCATAAATGTATAATAATTTTTTCAGTACAATTATCTTATTACATCATTAGAACGACTATGTGATCATCCACTGTCAAGACGTGCAACAGATTTCATTTTAAAATATCGTAGACTAAAATATCATACCTCTTTTAAGAAGTTAGCAGTATTACCTGTAAGTATCTATATAATGAGAATAAAGTTTCATTTAATGTAAAGGTTTATTATTACATGTTAAGTTGGAACATGACAGCACAGGAAGGCCATATGTTACAGTCAAAAGTAAGTAAACACAATTTTAACATTCACAGAAGATTAGCAAGTATATATATCATAAAACTCATTATTGTTAACGGTTTTAGATTGTATGAGGAAGTCTTCAAGAGGTGAAGTAACAATTTGGGGTAATGGCTCTGGTAAGATTGTCATTAATGGACACAACATCTCGTACTTTGAAGATTTTCAGCATCGCCAACAGGTGAGTTATTTCTTGCTTAAATCCTTGTAAGAAAAGTCGGTACTAAATTTTCATTAAATAATATACCAAATTTTTATGTAAATCTTCAGAAATTGTAATACGTAACATAATTCAGTTAGAGATAATTTCTACTATTTATGTTAAAATAAGATACATAGTTTATGCACTCTAGTTTACTCTGTTTTTTTTTTAATGATATTTTACTTTTCCAATAACAATTTTTACTTAATTTTGACTCAAGCCATGCAATATTTTTTTAGTTTTTAAGTTTAGTATTGATTAATAGAATTTCAATGTTTTCTTCGCTGCATATTCAGATATCTGAACAATTATAGGCGTAATAATGTGCTTATTCAAGAAACCTAAAGTCCGAGGTCCACGATGCTAGAAATCGCTCCGAGATTTCGGACAGAGAAAAAATTAACAAATCACATTTGAACAATTTGATTACATGACTATTGCGATTGGTCAATTCTTTCTTCATCCGAGGTCTCGCACCAATTTCTAGTATCGTGAACACAAGACTTAAGAATAGAATATTTATGATACCATTAAATGTTACAATAAGTTTGCAATAAGAACTCTTAAAAATATCTTATAATTGTTTTATGTATCAATTTTTGACATTCTGCTCATTGGATAACTAAAAAAAATTATAAAAATTGCAAAATGATGAAGGACTTTTCGACTTGGTTTGCTCTGTCTACAAGCGGTATGTCAAATAATTCGCGATACCCTATATAATGTTTCATTTTTCATGGAATTTTTGAAAACATGTTCCAATACATATATAATACTATTACATCACATTTTACACAAATGGTTCTAGTTTTTTTTATCAATGCCTTTGGAACTACGCATATGACATCATCTAACAACACTTCATGTAGCCATCGCGCCTCGACAACGTCTCTAGGGTTTGTGTTATTTGTGTTATTCTATTCTTGTTTCGCATCTAATAAACGATGAAGATAGAATGACATAAATAATGCTAATAGCGTTTTCCTAAACGCATTTTCTGTGTGCGAGGAAGGAGATGAAGCGAGAGAGGGAGAGAGGGGGAGATAAACATTCCATAGGTACATTGTCACATCATGATTTTTAGAAAAATGGCATTAAACCAAAAACAACAAATTCTCAAAATCATTATTTTTCTCAAAATTGTGACATGATAGCCGAATTTTGATAACGGATTTTTGCTCAGCAAATAAAAATACGTCGGAAATTATTCACACTTGTAAATAATTTTTTTAATAATACGTAAATAATTTTTTAAATCTTATGATATTGTATTTATTATAACATTAATTTATTTATTATAACAAAGTTTAGACAATTTCTTTTAAAACTAGCCGTGATTAGTTTAAACTGAATAGCTTAATAATTATCAAAGATACGATTTTTTAAAGATTCTGGGTCATATATGACCCACTAGACTTGGAAAGAATCAAAAAAGAATATTCGTCTCGAATCAGAAGAATCATATATTTGGAGGATGAATACAGCACTGAAGAAGAAATATATTGTTATTTAATATCTTTTTATGATACATATTGTGAAGAATGTGAAGCATGAAAAACATGCGGTGTCCTTCATGGAAGACGACCTTTCCGTGCGCATTTCTGGTAGCCGGTCTCATCCGATATATGTACTAAATCTCATTCGTTGGTATAACCGGTACGATGGAGTTAGCTGCACACTCTCTCGCTCTCAGTGTTAACCGGTCTGGCGAACGAGGTAATGCAATTGACGATTATCAACGTTCTCTACCGCGCTTCATCTCATGTCGCAAATGCGTAATGTACTTCTTCACTTTAAAACCTCTGCTATAATGCCGATCACATACTTAATACGTAATAAGAATTATTAAACTAAGTTCGAGATTTATTACAAAAGCATTAACAGTTTATTGACTACTAACAGACAGTGACTGTTGATTTGATTAATATAAATCTGACACAAAGGACATCTCTCTCATGACGTTATGTTTACTTATGTATAATTGAAATTTCTATTTATTTTCACGTTTAATATCTATTTACGCTTTTTTCATTTTACTTTTATTTAGTTTCACATTTATTTTTTATTTGTGATACAAATTTTTTTAATTTATCTTTAATAATTTTATAGATTTATATTTCTATATTTTCATTTAAATGATTTCTATTTTTTGGTCTAAATATAATAGCGGAAATATTTAAATTTCTTATAATTGTTTAGTATTTAGTCAAGTCGACAAAATCTATTTTTATTAATAAATTCATATAAGGGCTAAATAAGCCAAGCATATTATTGATGCAAAAGAATATATTGTCACAAATCACAAAAATCTTCCAAATGTTTCGGTTCTCAATGGAGCCATCTTCATTGAATCACTTATATTACATATGTTTTTATCTTCTTTTGTCTATGATTTATAGACAGATTAACATAAAAACTTGTCACCAATTACTTCATGCTAGAACGCATTCTATTTTTATTGTTAACTGCGTAAACGAACAAAATGTTATTGCAGAAATTTATTGCTTTTCGTAAGATCCATAAGTTTTTTTTGTAATGTGTTTATCAATATTGCAATCTATATATGATCTGTACGATATCTCTTTGTTTCTCATAAGTGGGACATAATTACCGCCAATTCAATCAGATAATAGACTACCCTCCATGATTATTTAAGCAATTTTCCAATTGCAAGAGTCATGCGATATGCTTTGTGTTGGATTTCAATGTTACAACGTTTCAATGTTAAAGCGTTTATGAAGTATACCGCCTTTGAGTCGTAATTTTTACATTGAAATAGAAAAAAAAATGAAATATACATTCAAAAATTCATATTTCTTTCTATGTATTAATCCTTTAAAACATTAAGAAATCATTAATAAATATTTCAATTATTTGATTTTCTATATAAAATATACGAGTTTTAGAATATACAGAAGAATAATATTCTTTGGAACGCAATTTGGCTCATATAGTGTTTTTTTATTTAGTATTCGGAATGTAGAATCACGTAGAAAAGAAATTATGTTTTGAGGGAATCATTCAAAGTTATGGTGTGGAATCGTTATTTTTCGGCGAAAATAAAAAAATCTGCAAATCCTCATATAAGCCAATAAATTGAGTGAACACCAATTTTGGTCTTTTTCCGTTCTTTTTATCGTGATCTTAAGAGAAAAATTTTATTTTTTATTGAATATAAAGTTATTTTCTATATAAATTTTATATCAAATAATGGATAAGTAAAACAGATGTTTTATTAAAGTCATCATTTTCATCTTCATTTTTATCTTGATTTTTATCAAAATTATCAACTAAACCATTTAAAAGAACTTCATCATAAATTTGTTTATGTCATATTCTCCAAAGACTTCTATCAAAGTTCTTACTTACTCCATCGCGCTTGTGGAGTGAGTAAGAACTATGATATTTATATTCAATAAAACTGTATATTCAATAAAAAATAACATTTTTCTCTAAAGATCACGATAAGAACATAAAAAGATCAAAATTGGTGTCTTCAATTTATTTATATTTAATATATTTTATTTATATGAGAATTTACAGATTTTCCGATTTTTATTGACAAATATTCGATTCACCATAACTTTGATTCCCTCGGCACATAATTCTTTTTCTACGTGATTCTACATTTCAAATACTAAATAAAGAACACTACATGAGTTAAATTGGAGACGGCCCTAAAGAATAGTGTTACTCTTGAGATTAATTTAATCATCTGTTTTATTTTATTTTAGATTCATAACTTTAAAAGACCATACGTACAAAATATTATGTACTTCACTTATTTCGACAGAAAGACTATTTGACACTACAAATATTTATATAGTTCTGGCATTATATTTTAAACGTTCTATCTTTCTTTTCTTATAATAAATTTGGGTAATTATTAAAAAAATATTTGTTACATATTTTTACATGTTCGATTAAATATTAAAATTTTTGAATAGTGTTAAATAGATAATATCATATTTATAGGTAATTGAACTTAATACGGCAACAGGTGGAGATAGTTGATAGTTTCAGCAAATTTATATCGTTCTCGTCAGAAAAAGATGGAGGAAACTGAAGAAAGAGTACCAAAAACTGTTCCAAATATGTTGACACGCACGAATACGGCTTCCTTGTTTCTAACTCGGCTAAAGGCTAAACGCTCATCGTCTAAGCAAGATGAGCTTGAAAGTGGTCGAGTTCAATATGAACCGTCATTACCTGATGACTCGATAAGTCCTTCCATGGAAGATTACTTCATCATCAGTGAACATACCACTTCCGATGAAATCGACCGTACTTCACTACGCATCAATGAAGATCTTATTAAAAATATTCTTACAGAACACAAAAGGCATATGGGTTATAAATCACAAATCTTGGAGAATCTAGAATCAGGCAAAATGGATGAAATAAACATAAATACGATCTTTGCAGACATCAAGTCTAATGAAATCGATATTTTATTGCTACAAGCGAGTTTTTTAGGTCGTATGAATCTCATTCATCATTTGTGCAAATGTGGAGCTAATATTAATTACACCGAACCTAATCATGGTCTTACCCCCTTGCATTTATGTGCCTTTCGGAATTGTCTGGATGGAGTCAAATATTTGATAGAACAAGGCGCGAGCATTGATACCAAATCGAAGCACACGGCATTTCATTATGCCGCTTTTGGAGATGCCTTCGACGTAGCTCAGTATTTCATGCAACGAGATATCAGTCAGCTATCTCCGTATGAAGCTGAAGAAACTGTATTGCATGTGGCTTCACGGACTGACGCCTTGCGCGTACTTTCTTTACTGGCACCGAACAATAAAGAATTGAATCGTTTGGATCAGGACGGATACGCTGCTATTCATCATGCAGCCAATGGCGGAGACAAAGTTTGTTTGGATATACTTCTGAAAGCCGGTTGTCAAGTGGATTTACTTACCAGAAAGAACGACACTGCTTTGCACTTGGCTGCGGAAGTTGGTTGCGTGAGTAACTTGACTCTTTTGGTCAAGGCAAACGCTAATCTTCAGCTGAAGAATCATCGAGGATACACGGCCTTGCATTTAGCCGCTCGTTCGCATTCTCTGGAATGCGTGGAGATTTTATTGAAAGGTCGCGCGGATCCTAATGTGGAAGATAACGAGGGTCGAACATCTTTGCATCTGGCTCTAGGTAAGTCTCTGATGACCGACGACATTACTGAGCTGCTGCTGAAATGGCGGGCGAATGTAAATAAGGCAGACATGTACGGTTATACGCCTCTACACATCGCTGCATCGAACGAGCTATCACGATGCGTGAATCTATTGATAAAACACGAAGCAGACCTCAGTGCCAGGACCATCGGTGGTAACAGTGCCCTATCCATCGTTCTGCGTAAGACCCCGACATCCCTGGACGTGTTCGAACGTAGACTGGACAAGTCTCTAACTTTGAGCCGACAGGGATTCATCGCAGGCAAGCTCGAGTTACAACTGGACTTCCGTCCGTTGCTTCAACATCGGCGGAACCGTTCGTCCGAGACCGGTTATCTGAATACCTTTGTGAAGGAAGGCTACAAGGAAATTCTGGAACATCCTTTGTGCCAGTCTTTCCTTCATCTCAAGTGGCATAAGATCCGAAAGTATTACATCGCCCGATTGCTTTTCTATCTGATATATGTGTTGATCCTTACAAGCTGGGTAATAGCCGCCCTCGCTCATAATTGTTACAATGAATCAAAAGGTTATTACATGCACAATAAACCGTTGTGCTCGAGCGCAACTGGGATTTATGGATTTTTTTATAGACATCCTACACTACTCGAGATTCACTGGTACGCGCTGATGATGCTCACCATACTCGAGGCTTGTCGCAAGTTCGCCGTTATTTCCAGTTACCGATCTGTTAGACAATTTTTCACGCAGGTGGAGAATCTAGTCGACTGGTGCGTGATATTGAGTGTGTTTGCCACCTCTTTCGTGTATACGGGAAAAACATATGTCTGGCAAAGACACTTAGGCGCCTTCGCCGTACTTTGTGGTTGGAGCAATCTGATGCTGATGATTGGACAGCTTCCTGTGTTCGGTGCTTACGTCGCCATGTTTACTAGTGTGCAGGCACAAGTGTTTAAGTTACTTTTGGCCTACGCCTGTCTGCTAGTGGGCTTTACGGCGAGCTTCTGTGTGATCTTTCCATATTCCAATTCATTCAGCAGTCCGCACATAGGTCTTATTAAGGTCCTCGCAATGATGACCGGCGATTTAGGCTTTGATTCTTACTTAATCTCATCTGATAAGAGTGGCATCTACGAGAATAATGAAGGAGCTTCCTGGATTTTGCTACAAATTTCGGCCCAACTCTTTTTCGTGTTATTCCTTCTATTTGTCACGATCGTGCTGATGAATTTATTGATTGGTATAGCCGTGCACGATATCAAGGGTCTTCAAAAAACGGCGGGTCTTGCAAAACTCGTTCGCCAAACAAAATTGATCCACGACGTTGAGATTGCAATTTTCCTAGGATTTATGCCGTCGAAACGCTTCATCAAATGCATGCGATGGACCACGCTACTCCTGCCATCACCTTTACGAGCCGTTTTGACTGTTCGTCCACTAAGTCCCAGAGAGAAGAGATTACCACGTGATGTTCTTTCGGCTGCTTACAAAATAGCCAAGGAAAGAGATAGACAGAATAATTACATCGCGTCACGCAGAAAAATTTATAGCGCAAAAGCGGGTTTCAAAGGCGACATGACCATGTATCGTCGTCGTGATTTCAACGAGGATACGCTGCAACACAATTGTGACAAATTTAAAGACGAAATCGCGGAAGTCAAGGAGATTTGCGAGAAAAATCATACTCTCCTTCAGGAACTCATAAAAGCTCATAAATTAAATAAATAAAATTGTCAGTAAAACGAGCAAATATCCTTGAGTTGTAAAGGATATTTCATAAATTCACAAAGATTCATGTTCCATTTGAAATTTAATCATGGAGTAACGATAAGAGATTCTAAAACTTGAGATTCATGGAACGTGGTATTATGATACACGAATAATTAATTATCGCGTGGTATTATGATACGTGAATAATTAATTATCGCGAATCCTTGTTGTTGTTTCTATATCTTGTGTTTTATATATTTTCCAACAAACATTAAATCTTGTTTATATAGCTTTTCTGTGATACAAATACAATTGTGTCCAAAAATCAGTTATATTTAATTCCGTCCATTTTCATATATAAATTTTATATAAAAAGCATCAAAATAGCTTGCATAATTTTATGCATATAATAAATGTTAAACAAAATATTTTATTTTAACACAGTAATTGTATGAAATATTTTCTTAGGAGAAACACTTTATTTACTTTAAAATATATGCATATATGTATTTTTTCAAGTTTAAACATTTAGTATGTATCTAAAGTAACATCGATTTCGTGACGCGAATGTAAATATACGTATATTGATGAGACCTTACAGAAAATAGGACAGTTCGTTTATATTTTTTCTAAACATTCGTTTTTATTTTTAGAAATTTTTCTAAGATATTTTGACTTGTCAAAAAAATGTCCTTCTTTCTAAAGAGTCAACATATAAAATTTATATATAATTATATTCAAATTGATGCAATTTGATTTGACATCATGTCTGGTGTTGTTTTTAATATATTTTGATTATTTTGTTAATTTTCTTTACTCTTAAATAGGATCTTCTTTTTTAAATAGGATCTTAAGAAAAAGAATTTTATAAGCATTTTTTTTTGTTTTTTAACTATTATTATTTGAATTGTAAGTGTAGCACTGTTGCGAAGTTTTTACTAAAATGAATTGTTAAATGCATAAATAAATATTTTTATATCAAGATTAAATAGAGAAGTTTTAAAGTTGTGCTGGTCAAGTTTCACTTTGAAACTTTAAATAAAGTAAAAAAATACATATATTACATTAATGATATGCGTAGACAGTCTGCAAAACCGGTTCCCGTCTATTGAAAGTCTATTTAACTGTCAGAGACCTAGTAATGAGATAAAACGTTGAGTTATAGATCTACCTCTTGGAAGAGAATTTATTGGGCTAAAATTTTAGAGACTCTATAATTGGAACTATGTACTTTGTGTCTTACATACAAAATAATTAGCTGAGAAATATATAAAAAATAATTATTTAAAAAATGCATTACATATTCCATCACATTATGGAATCGATTTCTTGTAATTCAAATAAAATCACTGCGATGTAAAACTGTTTCATGTCGAATTCGACTGTTTGAAAGTTACTTTTCCCTTTTTTTATTAAAGTGAATACTAGTATGAAATATTCATTTCATACGTAATGTTTCATTTATGTATTTCATGTATCAACAATGTATAGGTAGCTAACAACTCGAAAATCTCTCTTGGTAGAGATCTTGTAAATGTATTTAAAATAAATACAAAATTAAAATTACATAAACGAATTGTGATATCATATTCGCAATCACGTGATGGTGAAAAGTTTGTCTAGATATTTGCAATTTAAATTCGGGAAGCTATGAAAAAAGGGATATAAAATATTCTATAATAGAAAATCTATACTAGATAAAGAAAGAGATAACGCGAAATTAAATAGGAAGGACTAACGAATAACAATTAATTAATTTATTCACTACTATTTCTATTATATTTTTGAGACGCTAAATAAAAAAATGAGTTTATAATTTAAAATTATGTTTATTATAAAAATTAACATAATTAAAAATAATTTTATATTATTCCTATAAACACACATTAACTGTTTATAATTTAAATAATTTTCTTTGTCTCTCTGCGACCTTTACTTTGGAAAAATTATATTTTTTTAATAAGAATAATTTAATTAGAACACTTTACTTTGATAAAAATGTTTTTTCTCTTTTCTTATTTTTTTTTATTTGACCTTCGTCCATTGATTTTCAATAAGAAAAAAACAATTTATCATTTGATTAAAAGTATAAATATCTGTTTAACGATATAATATTTTTTTAACGATAACATATGTAAATAACAATGTCCTAAAAAACTCAAGTGATCTTTCAATAATACTTTTCAGCCTGATCTAGATTAATCAAGAAAAGAAAAACAGCTCGTATACGTGTGACTATACGTAAAGTAGATCTCAAATTTGCCCCGCATTTTTTTATTATGTATTTTTTGTTTATGTATAGCGTCTTGCCCCTCTGCTCGTAAATTCCTCTTCCCACACGAATGGCAGAGGCGTATGCAGAGTACGTCATGCAGTACGTGTAGTGCGATCGTACAAACTAGTTAAGCTCGCTGTAATGCTCGCTGAATTGTCAATTGTACACTGGTCAATGATAGGCATCTTGAATCGGTATAATTTTTACGATTAGAAAATGCGACCGAAATCCTTCTCGGACTGCTTTCGCATTCTAGAGTCGAAAACTCGAGGTTTCTTCAGCCAATCTCTAGGTTTTTATAAATACGTGCTTCAAAAAGTAGAAGCATTAAACAAAAAGAAGTGACGGTACGTCATATGAAGCCGGTAGCAAGAGGAAATGTGCAGTGACAGTGAAAAATGTTAACTTATCATACTATTTATATTATTTGAAGTTCTTATACAGCGACAGACCCACTTTGATAACGTAATAACTTGCGTTCGTCAAGGTGATAGAAAAATTAATATTGAGTCTTCAGAATTGTGCTTGAAGAACAAAAGAAAAACTAGTACACAAAGAACAACAATACTACTAACGGCGCAAATTGAAAAAGAGATAAGATTGCTAATGTATATGTGATAATCACTTGTAAGTGCATAGTATGCACTGCATACTTTTTGTAATACAATATTTTTCTAATACGGGAGAAATTTAACGAATGTAATATCCGACGGGAAGAGCCTTAGAAAAGAACAACCTTTACTTATCTCTACTCTCTGCATCTGCATCTATCAAATGTATTCCGTTTAAGAAAATATTAATCATAAGTTGTTAGGATGAATGCAAGTCATTAAATTAATGATTAAATCAGAGCAACTCGGGTATAAGGCACTCAATTGCGCTCGGGATACAACGTGGCACAACGATAATCTCTTAAGGTCTAAATGAAATGATTTGTAGGCGGGACGTGATAACCGAAAAAGAGAGAACAAGAGAGAAAAAGACAGGATTGAAGAGACGATGACGCGGTTGAAGTAATTAGGATGCTTCGCGAAACATCACATAATGGTATACGAATACTTAGTGCTTAATTACGAAATGGGATTTACATTGGAAAATTAAACATTGTACAACATAACATACCTATTAGCCAAAGAAAAATAGAAAAAAGTGACAAGATCAGGAGATACGCTAGTCTCAGGTGTAAGTTTATCGTCTATATGTACATATTTATCATTGGGTTATTATAATCGGTCTGTAATACGAGTTTTCGTGCGCAAGAATGTAAAAAATCTAAGATAACAGAAAAAAATAGCAATGATAAAATCGTTTAAATCGAAAATGCTTGAATTTTTCACTAAAAGAAATAAAAGAAACTGAATAGTAAATTTATTTCCAGTTATAAATAAATAGTGAAGTAAATAATTCAAACGAGTATGTATGAGAACGATCGAGATTCGTTAGGAGAAAGTGCCAAAGTAAAAAATCTCGAGACGAACAATCTGGAAACACCAACTATTTTGAATGATGAGGAACATTTTTATTCCAAAAGCTTCAACAAAAGTTGTCACAAAAGCGATCCTCTGTCCGTAAGATTAACTCCCACTTATAGATCATTGAGATATGCATATGCAGAGGATTATCCGCAAAAAATTGTGATCGATGATGCAACCATATTCGATAACGATCAAATCGAGATCGACGCAGGTGTACCACCACCAGTCGATGACTCTCTCTTCTTTGACAATCTGGAAATTCTGGAATGTCACAAGAATCATTACGTGAATGGTGCCAAATTGAGATCGGCTATATGGTCTATCGTCGACACGATGGAGACGAGATTATTACAGTACATGGAAAAGAGTCGCACGCTTCCGAACGCGTGCAAAAGCGAGAATCTACGAAACGTTGCTTACATCTGGGCGTCCTATCGTGGTCTGCTTCATCTTCTGCCGGAATTGGAGAATGCCGGAGCACGTTACGACTACGTCGAACCGCGGACCGGTGTGAACGCTATCCTCGCGGCTTCGTTGGGTGACAAAGTCGCCTGCGTGGAGTATCTGATCGCGAAGGGTGCCAACGTGAATTACGAGAGCCCCATCATTCATTACACACCTCTTCATTTCGCAGCGCTCGGTAATAGCTGGCACGCCGCAGCTACATTACTGGATCATGGCGCCAAGCTCAATTATGTCTGTCAGGAAGTGGTCGAGCCAATTCTACATAGTGCCATCCGCGCGAAGGCGGTGGAGACAGTGAAGCTGCTGCTCGAGCGTGGTGCCAGTGTTGTCGAAAAGAATCATTTGGGCCAGACACCGTTGCACGTGGCCTGTTTCGTACAATCGATACCATGCGTCGAGCTACTTTCAGCCAGCGCGCCCAACGTGAACGCTGTGGATAGGGAGCACAGAACACCCCTGCATTTCGCCGTGATGAGCACAGACTCATCCGCCGAGTTAGTACAGTTGTTGCTGAAATGCGGCGCTTTGATAAATGCGGCCGATCGGACAGGTTTCACGCCTCTTCACATTGCCGCACTGAACGAACAATCTCAATGTGTGGATGCGCTCATCTGGGCGGGTGCTGACATCAGCGCGACCACGTGCACTGGATTATCCGCTCTGAATATTATATTGAAGAAAATTCCTGAGTCTCTGCACGTGTTCCGACAGCGGTTGGACGCTTCCATTAGACTGACCCGACCGGTATCACATAATCGTGAGTTTGAAATGAGACTGCACTTCGACATTCTCTTCCCCAGCGGTAATCAGTGCGAAACCAGCTTCATAAATACTTTTGTACAAGAGCGTCGAAAGGATTTGTTGTCGCATCCTCTAGTTATGGCCTTCCTACACCTCAAATGGGAGAAAATTCGCAAACTCTATTTGCTGAGAATATTTTTGTATTCTATGACAGTGATATGCTTGACTACTTACGTACTGACTGCGTTAGCGTATAAATGTTATAATCAAAACGAAACCAATAGCTCCAAGATATGCGGCAGTAGACGACCGTCTGACTTTTTCTTCCGAAAATCAATCATCGAGATTGAATGGTACCTTGCGCTGGTTCTGACATGCATCACCATACCAAGAAAAATATATGGCTTCATGGTTTACAAATCAGCATTACAGTATTTTTCCAGCATTGACAACGTGTTGGACGGTGTAGTAATTGTGAGTGTATTCGTTACATCCTTCGTGTATACTGGGCGTACTTACGACTGGCAGAATTACGTCGGCGCGTTTGCCGTTCTTTGCGCCTGGACCAATCTAATGCTGATGGTGGGTCAATTACCGGCCTTCGGTACCTATGTTGCTATGTTTACGCACATCCAGTTCGAGTTCGCCAAACTTTTGTTAGCATATTCGGGCCTGCTGATTGGTTTCACTATCAGCTTCTGTGTGATATTCGCCAGCGAACCCGCGTTCGGCAATCCTTTCACTGGGTTGATCAAAGTCTTGGCTATGATGGTCGGTGAATTGGACTTCGAAGGATTCATTAACCAGATGGATGATAAACCGATGGGCGGCTCTTTTGTCATTTATCATCCTATTTTATCAGTGTGTTCGCAGATTCTCTTCACGCTCTTTATAGTATTCGTTACTGTGATTCTGATGAACTTGCTGGTTGGTATCGCCGTACATGATATACAAGGTCTGAGGAATCATGCAGGGCTTACGAAGCTAGTAAGGCAAACGAAAATGATCCTCTTTACGGAAATGGTATTGCACAACACTGCAATCCCATATGCCTTCCGGAAATGGATGTCGGATCACAAGATTGATGTTGAAAACAGGAAACGGGTTCTTGTGGTAAAACCGCTTAATCCCCTCGAGAAACGATTGCCTAAGGATATAATGAAAGCCGCTTATGAGATAGCACAGAAGAATATTCCTTCGTTTATGAATGATGATATCAATTTGAGCGATCGTGCTGTTTGGTTGAAACAACGACACAATGGATTCTCCGACGGAGCTCTAGAAATGACATTTGAGAAACTGATTGCTATGATGAAAGTGAATGAAGATGCTATAAAATTGTTGAGAATACAGTTGCTAGAAATGAACAAGATGTTGGAAAACGTCGCAACAAAATTGACGAAAGAAGAACATACTACTTCATTATAATTTTAATAATTTAATATTGGTACGATCCGATATTTCAAGCAATTCGCATTATGTGATTCGTGTGTGTGTGTGTGTGTGTGTGTGTGTGTGTGTGTGTGTGTGGTGGTGTATTTATTCTCTTTCACTGTAAATATTTTTACAAGTAAAAGGCAATTATTACGCAATTATAACTTTTGATTTTTATTGATAAAAAAATTATCATAACTTTCAATTTTATCTTCTCAAAAAAGTATCAAATTCTCAAAGAAATCTCGGAATATCTAATATCTAAGTTGGCTTTTCCTTACCTCTTAATAATTGTTTATCATATTAATATGTCATCTTATAAAGGAACTTACCTCTCATAGTTTCATTTCTTGCACATTTTATCTGTTACAGATTATATTTCCATTACTTCTTACAAATATGACTGATAAAGTAGATATCGAAGCCACAGTTAATGGTGGAGGGCCTACTGGTCAGTCGGGTGTTGTACGTTGGGGTATTTCATGGGGCTTACGTAGCTTTGTTGACAACTCAACAATCGACAGAATGCGAATTGGTAAGAAATAATCAATTTGGCAAAATATATTAATATAATATATATGTTTATATATGTCGCAATAAAACTGTATTAATTAAATATATGATAGATAATTAAAAAGTTACTGTTCTTTTCAAACAGCTGGACTTCTAACAAGGGATTGGAGGAGACGTGAAAGAAAGAAGCCTGGTCAAGAAGGTGCTAGAAGAAAGTTCGCTTGGAACAAACGTTAACTCTTATTATCATACAATTTTCACATTGTACGCATTAAAATTATATGAAACGGCGCCATAGAAAAATATTTCGTTATATACAATAAAATTTATTCAAGAAAATAAAGCTAGTTATTTGATATTGAATAAGAAAATAGAGAGAGATGCATAATTTTCCTACTCAAGGTCTTACCAAGAAAGCAGAATAATGTGCTGCGATTTCACATCTTTTTTAAGAGTACACATACATTTGTCTTCACATTTCTTCCAAGGGTATTAGACCAAGTAATTTCATACCTTGTGCAAGAACATTTCTAGCAACATGAAAAAGCAGCAGTCTTTGACTAGCAACATCAGGCAATTCATCCTTTACTCTTAATGAATTAAAAGCTTTATTAATTGCATTACTAAAAAAGAAAGAGAACTTGTATACATATTTCTGAACAGAGTTCAGAAGTTAGATAATTGTGAAGCTAGTTAGATAATTGTGAAAAATATTTGAGAATTTGTTTTTTGGAATTTGTATCTCATACCTTAGATTGAAAAGATATACCGTTAATATACAGGGTTCTAATTCTTCATATGATTTCAGCACTACTTCTTCAAACTTAGTAATTAATATGACCAATTCATCAACAACTTCTTCTTGTAATAGACTTGGCTCACATGTTGAAGTTAGGATAGCGCCGCAATTGCGCTCCAAGCTTCCTAATCGACAATGTGTATATTGTAATTTCACACCTGTGTCTCCTTTCAACTGACAAAAAAGATAAGAATAAAAATTAATCAATACAGATATAAAATCGCATATAAAATAATTTTTTTATGATAATATATAGATCATTTACATCAAATGCTGCATTCCAATCAAACGTATAATCTCGTTCTCGTTTTCTTTTTAAATCATTAACTATCATTGCGGAAATGCCTAATATATCCGAGCTGTTATCAGATGAATCTAGACGAACTTTAGTAGCTGAAAAAGTTTTTCTATTATAAAACTAATTCTATATAAACTTAGATATTACATAATTAATATTAAAATTAACATACTATGTGAGTCAATTTGTTTCTGCTTTATGATATCTCTGGCAGTATCTAAGATATCTTCTAAAAATATGACATTTCCTTTTCTCGTACGCATACCGTGCAATCGGCCAAATTTTATATGTTTCAATCTTTCAGTCCACGGCATTTGCATTTGTTTTAATATTTCTAACAAATTTGAGAAATGACTTACTTGTGTATTATCCACTACATAGTACATACAATCAAAATCATTCTTTTCAAATCTATCAATAGCTGCAGCGATATCTCTAGCTATGTACAAAGTAGAGCCATCACTCTTGATTATAGGAACGCTTTTCTTATTGCTCAGATTCACAACTTTTCTATTTTGCTCGTCCCTTATTAGTAATTGCATCTTTTCCATCAATGTAACTATTTTCTCGATATTTTTGGCATTGTACATAGATTCCCAATGATATTCATCAAATGTGATACCAATTCTGCTGTAAACCCTTTTTAATTCCTCAACGGTATGCTGTTTAAATATGCTCCACTGTTCATGTGCAACTCCTCTACTCTCTATACCACTTTCCAAATCATTAAATATTTTTCTTGCACGATCCGATACAGAAGAATCAATTTCAGCTAATTTGTTGGCACTAACATATGCTGTGTACAAGGCTTTTATAGGATTTCTTTTCATATCATCCTCATTAGTACCTGTTATATCGATTCCTAATTGAACTAAGCCATATTGTGTACCCCAGTCACCCAAATAATTTATTTTTTTCACTTTATTGTTTATAAAACTATTGATGTTAGCAACATAATTTCCTATTATTGTAGATCTCAAGTGTCCTACATGAAAAGGTTTTGCAATATTAGGTGAACTAAATTCTACTATTATATTTTTTTTATTATTCACAAAGGTTGGAGCCGATACTGTTGAACAGTTGTGTTCTAAAAGTTCTTTAACACATCTATTTCTGGAAATATTAAAAGAGATAGCATTATTTTTTATATCAATGTTGTCGAAAATACTATTTGGCTCATTATTTATGATATTTTGTGCTTCTTTCTGTATATTATATTGTCTAGTTCTCAATGGAAGTAGGAAAGAATAGATTCCTCCTGTTTTACATGTTTTCAAATGCAAATAAGATGCAACATTGGATATATTTATATTGTTACCGTTTGGTAAAGATTCTGTAATCTAAAAATAAAAATATAATTAGATAAATAATAATAAAAAATAAATTCCAAATCATTGAACATTTTATTACTTTGAAAAAAAATACCTTTTTTAAAATTGCAGTTTTCATATTATTACTCATGTTTAATCATTCAAAGGTAATGTGAATAATTATCTGATTATTCATAAAAGTTATGAAGGAATGATTTTTTTTTTATAGTAAGATAACACAAGCCAATAATATCAATTAACATTGTTAATCCAACGTTTCATACAAGCAATGTGAAATAATAAAATAAAAAATTTTCTGATTACAATTATAGGTTAGAATTGATATGCTCCAAAATAATATTACTGTTAGATGTCGCTAATGTGGTCTGAACTGAAATATAACTAGAATTTTGTGGAAAGGTTGGCAATCTTTAAAATACAGTGTGCATACACACAAATTACACAACACAGATAAAAATAAGAATATCAATAAAATTACTCAAAATATATTTAATATTTAATAAATAATTATTACAAATGATCACATATGTTATATTCCCCTTTAAAATAAAAATTTCCATTTACTTAACTTCATTTAATTAATAAAATTCAATCGCGCACGATTGATAAAAATTATTATTATTAATTAATAAATACGGAAGGGTAATATAAACTAATAAAATTGTTATCAAAGGCATTAAAAAAATACGTATTCATTACCTAATAATAAGTTTCAATTTTCTAAAATTATATTAACAATTTTATGTATTTTCTAGAATACTACAATACAATCCTTGCAGCGAATAAATTTATTAGGCGAGGATATAGTTCCTAGCAATAATTATCTTAAATAAAAAAAATTATTATTTGTATCACTTGAAATATCACTTATTTCTTATATATATTTTATCTTTAAAAGATAAGAAAATTAATTTATTAATATAATATCAATTACATTCCCATGTATGTACTGTTATTAAATATATTCAACCTAAGTATTAACATGTAATTATTAAAACTATTGTTTGTTCATATTTAAATAAATACATACATATATATGTGTATATATTTTATATGTGATATATTTTATATATACATGTAAAATGATAATATATTCATATTATTAATCATTACAACAATATCATGACTTATTTCAAGCTATAATTAAATTAACTTTAAATTAATATAAACAACAAACGTTTCGGCTTACAAAGCCTTCTTTAGTGTTAAAACGCAGAAATATAATCTTAAATTAACAAACTGAAAATAACGAATACAATGAAAATTTAAAAAACCATCTGTGGTAAAGTGTGAATATATAAGAATCTCAATGCAACTTCTTCGTCTTCTAATATTTCTGCTATTTCTTACGCGGCGACACCACGTACGGCATATGGGAAATAAACAGAACAGAGTGCGACGTGGTGGCGAGAGCGCGTGTTTAATCACGTCGTCGTCAAACAAGAAGATCAAGGAGGAAGATTCAGGTTCGAGCGAGGGGGACGCCCGCGATTACGACGTCAAGATACAGAAGGCCAGTGACGAGATCCTCGAGGTCGAGAAGAAGTATAACAAGCTACGCAAGCCCTACTTCCAAAAGCGTAACATCAAGAGACTACCCAACTTCTGGATCACCGCTTTTGTAAACAACAAAGAAATAGCAGAAATATTAAAAAAAGACGAGGAAGATGCATTGAGATTCTTAAACAAATCAGAAGTTGAAGAAATCGAAGATATCAAATCTGGCTATAGGATTAATTTTTACTTTGATGAGAATCCATATTTCGAAAACGATGTTTTAATTAAGAAATTTTATCTAGGATCTTCTGTATCTCAAAATACATCTATTCGTTGGAAAGAGGATGCTGAATTCTTTATATATTGACACTTTATCACAGATGGTTTTTTTAAATTTTCATTTCGTTATTTATTCAGTTTGTTAATTTAAGATAATATTTCTGCGTTTTAACACTGAAGAAAGCTTTGTAAGCCGAAATATTTGTTGATTATATTAATTTAAAGTTAATTAATATAATATAATTAATTTAATTATAGCTCGAAATAGCCATGACATTGTTGTAATTCTTTAAGAAAATATACGAGCATTTTTACTCTAATTATTAATCATCTTAATATATTATGAGAATGAGTGTTTATTATATATATAATTTTCACGCTGTAGAAACGTTATAGCTACAAATCTGAATTCTATGTTATGTTAATAATTCGTACAAAGACATGTTAAAGTACTAATCCAAGGAATGAATTACTCTAATACACTGTTATATATAATATAAAAAAATAATACAAAAAATACCGTGTATGTGCAGACATGTAATACACTCGTTTCGTATACGATCTCAAACTTCGTGATCGATTAAATATGCGTCCTTTCTGAAAGAGTAACGCGGTGGATTGTGGCAAGGTAGTAGCCAAAATATTGGATGGCTCTTTCCACATACTTGAGACAACAGCGTAAACGTTCGTGGTGTATTCTTGTGATAGCGTTGCTGTATACCTTGGACGCGCTCCACGGCAGTTTCATCGCCTAGGATCGCTTGGAATTGATCAATTAGAATTGCTATGACAAACATACCAAATAACCCCGATTCCAAAACTAATGTTACACAATGTAAACTGCAATAAGTATTCAACGTTAGTATTTCAGTTATCATAAATTTCTTCATGAGAATGTAAGTACATACATGCGATTTTGTTTGACTGCAATATCGTTATTGCACTGTGGGCAGTCATAAATCCAAGACGTAATGACTAAAATAATAGCGTAGATAGCTAATGCACCAACGTAGACTAGAAACTGTATGAAGTACTTTTGATTCCTCTCACCAACGCAGTTATTGATCCTTAAATAAGAATAGTTAAGACTTTAATAAATGAACATGGAACATTAATCATTTAAATACAATAAAATTAATTAAAAAAATAAATTAAAATTATTATATTGATTTTTTAATATATTGCTATTATTTTCCGTACAGCTCATATAGTTACCATGGACAATGATGATCCATTTTTCTGATACAACGTTTACAAATTCTACAGTGATGTGCTCTAGGTGGTCTATATGTTTCACATCTAGTACACACTGTCCAATCATCCTTCTCATCACTTTCATGATCGTCACTTCCTCCGGAGACATGAATATCGGAAAAGTCCATTCTACTTTGTGGTAAGGGTACTATACCTGGATCACTGCAGACAGCTTTCAAATGTGCCATCAGAAGAAGAAGTACAACAGTATTAAATGCTATTATATGGAACGGACACCATAAGCTGAGAACAAGAAGATAATATTGCTGAATATGTTTTTCAAGAAGAAAGTAATAAATTAGAAAGACTGTAATAAAAAAATAAATGTGAGATGTCACGTAAAATGTGAAAAATTCGATATTAATAACTTAATGTTAATAACTTAATATCGATAATTTTTGTTAACAAACGTGTGTTATACCAACCTGTCTTGCATAGTGTGTAACACGATCCATCGTACCACAACATAGTCAGCGTAGAATACCGCCACATAGGTGACGATAATGCATACAATGCCACAGGGATCTCGGACGAACATTTTTTGTTTTCGCAAACGGCACACAGCGATTAATATCGCAGTTCTTCATCACTGTGTGCACAAGTGTCATGTCATCTGCTTTTGGGATGACCACATTATTAATCGTTGTTCAGGATTGATACAGTCAGCAGGTACCGTCGTGATGCCAATCGACGAGTTAATGCATAATCTGTGCAGAACCGTCGTGTTGACTTGACTTGACAAGCTTGGCGTTTAGAGAGAAAGTTTTGACGGAAGTGTGGTGGGATGTTTGGATCTTGACCGCTTTATTGGCGAGGTCTCCGATTGTTCTAGGAAAAGAAATTCTTCCTTTTTTAATCCTCCTTGGATTTCCAATCTACCGAGAAATGAAATTAATTGGAAAGTGGAGTAGAGGCCGATCTGTTAAACGGCACTACTGATTTCACTGGCAAGCGGTGGCGACAGCAGAAACGTAGTTCTGATACGGGCTTTAATCTCTAATGTGTAATCTGATACGAGCTTTAGCGCAAAGTCATACGAAAGTAAAAAAAAGGGTAAAGGGGCAAATTTGGTCGCTCAAATTACATTGAATTAATATATATTAAAAAAGTTACTTTGTAAAATAAATGCAGTCATATAATACAATCAACTTATTGTACATATATGTATATACATAACAATATTATGATTTAAAATATTTATATACTTTTACATTTAACTTTTCCAATTTCATATCAAGCGACTATTAGTATACACTAATCTAGAGCAGGGATAGAATTTGCTATAATTTGGATACTTTCCAGTAAAAGACACAGATGACACAGATTGATTTCTATTTAGGAGACACTAAACATTCCATCCTTCTTGACATTCAATGAATAACAAAGAGAGAACGACATTTGTGTCTTCTACTGGAAAATGCCATTTATAAATTTGTTATCATTGTAAAAATATAACTCTTGAATGACCGATTCAATCCTCTCGACTATATAGGTCGAAAAAATCGGATGAATCCAATTTGTGCTATGAAACGGATTTGGTTTATGTTGTTTTTTTCTGTACCTATAGCACATTCCTGAAGTCCTGGAAGTTTTCCTAGTCGATAACCAATCGTACGACGTTACATCTGCGTGTTCGTATTTTCATTGGAAAGTATTCTACGTGCATATTCGCAATTTCCAATCATATGGTAAGTATGACCACGTGGTAATTTGTGAACGCGACATTGGTATCCCGTAGTGACGCAAGCCCTTAGCCCCGCAAGCCTATCACATCCTTCAGGATCGTAGTGGTGACTTTCGGTCGTCCGACGGTCCTCCGTCTCATTTCACTTTGCGTTACCGGTAAGGAGAGTTGTGTGTCTCGCGGTAATGGGGCGATAATTTCGCTCCACGTTAATTTAATTAGATCTCGTGGCCCGAAGTGCGCCGCTCGCTCCTCGTAACCGACGTTGTACTGTTTCAGGCAAATCATCGTTAAACTGGCTACGTAATAGGCATTTATTACTTGGCCGGATTTCTTTATTACGGTAGAGTAAGTAGCAACTTGAAGAATCTGCTGTCCGTGTTGTGTGCGGAGAGGAGAGCGTGCGTGTCTTCTTTTCTTACCTTACCATCTTTCCCGGTGCCACTTGGGCCGTTCCTCGTTTCTTGGCATCATTTTTCATTCCGTCCCGTCATTTCCCTTCATCTCGCATTTTCTCTTTCGGCCCTTCTTCTCGCCACAACGTGCAGATGTTGGCCCCCAACGCGAGAGGTTAGCGATCTCGTGACGTGTCAAGTTAACGCTCCATTCCATATGGTGGTCTCAAATCTCAGCCATTGGTCATTGACGTGCACTTGGCGTGCATCTGTTTGTCTGATTCTCGGCCACGATGCTCCTCCGGGTTGCAAAATTCTGTCTTTCGGCTTTGGAAAAGATATCATCCCTTTAGCTACGCACGCCTCGCGCGGCACGAGTTGATATCTATCGTTTCCGCAAAATCCGGGTCGCCTTGAAAGAATTTATGCCGAATGCGAGAAAAAAAATATACTGTTGCGAAATTCTATCGCGATTCAATCGACCTTTGTGAAAATGCCCGGATACGTCCCCTCGCGATTATTCGGGTTATCCAGGAAAAAATTTATCATCGGTATTAACTATCGACGTCCCAGCAGATAATTTATCTTTTTCGTCGCAAAGTTAATTTAAAGTATCGCCATGTAATAAGTAGTATAATATAATCTGGAATTTAAGTAAAATGAAATTTTTATGTAAATGCGTGCACATTTGTATGTGCAAATGTATGTGTTGTCAAGATGCTCCCTGTATTTTTTTTTATTTACTTTGCAATAAAAAAATGTATGTATGTATGGATATATGAAACACGCGTGTATTAAAATATATATATATATATTATTGATATTATATGAATTATTTGTATTAATAATTAAAAATAATAATTACATTTATTTATATTTTATATGTATATGTATGTTATCATATATTTATAAAAAGATTGTCAGAAAGGTAGAATATTTCTGATTTATATTATAGTGCTACTGTAAGGACTTGGCACGAAACAGGACATCCGAAAAATGCAGCAGCAATCAGTAATGGAAGAGGGAACGGCCTATGAGCCACCTACTTACGACGAGACATTCCCTGTCCTCCCCGAATCATCTAGCTCCAATTCTGGACCGTTAAACATATTTTCCATAAGTAACAACTTACAACTTGGTCGTATTACTATTACACAGGTAAAAATTTATAAGAATTTATTTCTTACACGACTTGTTAAATATATAGATTTTTTTTTAATGAAGGACTTGCTGCAGGGGTGGATTAACTACTTTTAAAAAAAAATTGAGCAATCTAAAATTAAAGTGATAGAAAAAATGCCAATATTATGTGTTTACCTTATGAGATTAACTCACAACATAGTCAAATGTGATGTTAATATTTTTTCTATCATTTTAACTTTAGAATTTATTTATTTTGTTTTTACTAATGTATTGCAACAATTTGTTATAATTAAAGATATGCACATGAATTTGTAATTTAAAAAAATTAAAATTACATTTTACTGTACTGTTGAAAAAGTATTTATTCTTTTACATATTTTTTCTATTTTCATGTAGATGTTCCGCGTACCAGGGGAAGAACGCAAGTTTGATCATAGTGATAAATTTGGCGAACGTGAATCTATTCGTACATGTAAAACTATTATGAAAGAGACAAGCACTATTATCGAAATTGCATCATCTAAAGATCAATCTCTAACGTTTCTTATAACTGGAAAGCAAAATCAGGTTTTAGAAGCTAAACGGCGTATTTTGACAACGTTTCAAACTCAGGTAATTCTCAATTAAGAGATATACGTGCATAACTTATTATTTTACAAATATATACTTTGTATGTATTATTAAATAGAATGATTTCGATATTTTAACTTACTATTTTTTATTACAATCTTGCAATCTTCCTTAAATATACATAAATTATTCTATATTTTCATCAATTTTTTATAGGCAAGTAAGCAGATTAGTATTCCTAAGGATCATCATCGTTGGATTCTTGGAAAGCAAGGGCAGAGGCTAAAAGATCTAGAGCAGAAAACTGCTACAAAAATTAATGTACCTGGTGTCCAAGATCAATCAGATATAATAACAATTACAGGAACAAAGGAAGGCATTGAAAAGGCTGAACATGAAATTAGAGTTATTTCTGATGAACAGGTAATTTTTTAAATAATAAATTACTATACACAGATATGATTATTCTATCTATAATTGCACTTGTTGCAAGATAGCATATACAATAAATTTTGTCATAAATATTGCAGTCTAGGAAGGCTTTTGAAAGGATAACTGTGCCAAAAATATATCATCCATTTATATACGGTGCACATAATGAAAATCTCAATGCTATGATGGCAGAAACTGGTGCTCGCATCAATATTCCTCCTGCATCAGTACAGCAGGATGAAATAACTATCGCTGGTGAGAAGGAAGGAGTCTTGGCTGCAAAACAAAAGATCGATAGTATTTACAAAGATATGGTAAGTTAATAAAACTATTTTATATAATTTTATTAGCACATAAGTAATATATATATATATATTAGGTGTTGGAATTAATTCGTAGCGTTTTACAAGAGATGGCACAAGCAGTACACTATTTCGTTGTTACCTATAGTTCTGTATACATTGTAAACATCTATCATAGGACGTCATTTGCCGTACATAACCTTTCTTGAAATCATAAATAACAATACTGTATAATTCATTGAATATGTCAAAATTTGTGCCAGATAAAGTGTTTTTGCGGGGAGTTTTGCTTCATTACTTTAATATGAACAAAAGTGCAGCTGAAGCTCATCGTATTTTAGTGGATGTGTATAGTGAACATGCTCTGGCTGAGCAAACGTGTAGGAAGTGGTTTGCACGTTTTAAAGCTGGTGATTTCGACTTGGATGACAAGGAGCGACCTGGTCAGCCGAAAAAATTTGAAGATAACGATTTGCAGGCACTGCTCAATGAAAACTCATGTCAAACACTTAAAGAATTATCTACGTCATTGGAAGTTGACTTCTCAACAATAGGAAAACGTCTTAAAAGTTTGGGCATGATCCAGAAGGAAGGACATTGGGTCCCATATGAATTGAAACCAAGGGATATTGAGAGACGTTTTCTCACGTGCGAACTGCTGCTTCAACGGCAGAAAAGAAAAGGTTTTTTGCATCGGATTGTTACCGGTGACGAAAAGTGGATCCATTATGACAATCCAAAGCGCAGAAAGTCATGGGTTAAGCCCGGCGAACCATCAACATCAGTGGCAAAGCCCAATATCCATGGCTCAAAGCTCCTGCTCTGTATTTGGTGGGATCAGAAGGGTGTCATATACTACGAACTGCTAAAACCGCATGAAACCGTTACTGGAGACCTCTACCGACGGCAACTGATGCGCTTGAGCCGTGCATTGAAGCAAAAACAGTCGGAATACTTCGAAAGACACGATAAAGTCATCTTGCTGCACGACAATGCTCGCCCACACGGTGCAAAACCGGTAAAAACATACCTGGAAACACTTAA